CCCGGTCAGGGCTGATCTGTGGGAAGCAGGGCTGCAGATATTCGCCAGGTTCCTTGGTCGTCATGGTTTATCACGGTTTAGGGTTTAGGGTTTAGGGTTTAGGGTTCAGGGGGGGGGGGTTTAGAGGTGAGGGATTTTGGGTTGTGGGGTTTAGGGTGGAGGGACGTTGGGAGTTTGGGGAGGTTGCCGCGTGGGGTTTATCAGTTCTTGGGTTGGGGGAATGGCGGTTTAGGGTTGAAGGAGCTCGGGGGTAGTTCAGATGCTTCTTGTGGGAGTTTGGGGTTTAGGTAGGGGTTTGGGGTTTAGGTTTGTTTTGGGGGTTTTGTGGCTTACAATAAGGTTTAGTGATAGCGGGGTTTAGGGTTTCGGGAGTTTCAGTAAGGTGTGGGCAGGGTGCTTTTTAGGGTTGTATAAGGCTTCTTAGAGTCGTAGAGCAGACGCTCGGAGTGCATGTTATTTTTTTTTCCAGGGCCTGAGGTTGGGAGATTATGTCTATGTGGGGAGGGTTTAGGGTTTAGGGTTAGGGTTTAGGGTTTAGGGTTTAGGGTTTAGGGGCGGGTTCCAATAAGGTGCCGGTTTTTGGCCAAGGCCCCAGTCTTGAAAGAACATGCTCCGTTGAAAGTCTGCGTTGTTCGCAGATGGGTCGGATGCCGTTGATAATGACTCTGTTCCAGCTGTCACCGTGCCCAACTGAATACGCCTCAGCCCAACCGAAACTGAACAGCAGGATAATCTTTAACCCGAAACCCTAGACCCAAAACCCTAAAAAGGACAGGGGCGTCAGAAAAAGACAAGACCCTAAACCGAAACCCTAAACTCCGTGTCAGCTTCATCTGGTGTGAATTCGAATGTACGAAGCCCAAAGTTCGACATAAGCCTCCAAGACCTAAACGCCTAAACCCTTAAATCCATGTAGCATGAGATGTTACCCAGTATCGGATGCCTAGGAACGCACAAAGCGATAGAGAAACGGGACTAAGAAGTTTAGCAAGTGTACACAGCCGCGTAAAATCTGAAATTGTGCCCCTTCAACCTTGATCCGTACCGGCCTGAGCCATCACCCCAAACCTTGAACCTGAGCCTCTAAGCCTCAAGCTTTAACGCCTTAACCTATCAACCCAAAGCCTTGAATTCTTCGAATTACCGCCTGAAGTCCCCTAAACCCTAAACCCTAAACCCTAAACTCTGAAACCCTAAACCCTAAACTCCCTAAACCCTAAACCCCTAACCCTTAACCCGTAAACCCTAAACCCCTACACCCTAAACCCCAAACCGTAAACCCCAAACCGTAAACCTCTGAGGTTCGGGACCGGGCGTCAGAACGTGGCTGCCGAGCTCCACTTCGACTTCGAGAGCAGCGATGCTGGCGGGTTTATTTATTTAAGATACAATGTAATATACTATAATATAATGTAATGTAATGTAATGTAATATAGTATAATATAATAGAAAATATAATGTAAAATAAATATAATATAGAATAAAACATAATATAGTACAGTATAATATAATATAACATATTACAATACAATATAATATAGTATACTGAACTATACTATACTATACTCTAATTTTCTGTTTCTATAATATACTACAACATACTATAACATACTATAATA